GAAAGGGGGGGCGTTCGAAACGGCAGCGCCCCCCCCCCGTTTTCCGCCAGCACCGGTAGCACGCGCTCTTTCCAATCTTGGTCTCCTCCTCGATCGCCATCGCTGTCTCGCGCTGCGACCCGGCGCAACAATCGCGTGCACCCATGACTCTGTGCGTCGCGGTCTCTGTAGGTGGGTGGTTGGCTGCGGGAGCGCCCCCCGGCACCCCAATGCCCCCTGCTGAAGGGGGCGTCGGAGCCTGCGGCGGTGCAGGCGCGGTCGCCGATGCCGCAGACGCTGCCGTCGAAGGTGGCAATGGCATCTCCTGCGCTGGTGTAGGAGGCGGCCGCTTCGGAGTCGCGCCCACCATATCGCCACCCTGCGGCGGATGATGCGCGGGGGGAGCAGGCGGCGCAGGCAAACGTGTTCCAAGCACAACAAATGGAGGATCAGGAGCGATCTCTGTCTAGGAGTCGGCCCAAGACTAGAACCAATCGGTGAGCTCGATGATGTAGTCCGCGTTGACATCGCACTCCCGGTCGAAGATGCCCGTCGCCTCGCCGGCGCAGCTCGAGGCAGCATCCGCAATTTGGTTGACAAACTTGCTTCAACACCAACCAGGTAACAGCATGACATACCATGTATGTCCTATTTTACACCTCCTTGACGAATATACGCTCAAGGGAAGAATGCGGTTCCCATGCGTCGGGAAACGTGTTGGCCATGCAGTCGAGGCGAAGAATGAGGATCTCCCAAGACGCACAGTACTTTCTTCCGTCGGAGTATGGAACGCTTTTCCATCCCAATCAGCGCAGTATGTTGCAGGAAAGGCCTGAGTGCACGCAGGTGGTGGATCTTCATGCGGCGTAGCCTCGGCTGAGGTAAAATGAGGGATTGGACCCTGATTCCGCCGTTGCGGGGCAACAGAAAATGATCCACGTAGCCAACTCGTGCTCTCCCAGGGGCTGCACGTGAAGAGCTTGAAATCCCTTCGAGCGGTGGAATTGCGTGGGTTGCTCCAGGCGGATGGAGTACTGCGCGCATCTCCTGCGCCTGGGCATGGCCCTGGCAGCCGTTGACGGGCTGGATCAGCAGGCGGCGGAACGGGAACGGCTGTGTTGGCAGCGAAAGAGGAGCCGCACTCAGGTTCCTGAGAGTAGCGGCGCGCAAGAACTGCTGTGTCAACTGCACCGATTTGTGCCCCGTCTTCTGCGGTGCCAAGCATTCGCATGAAGGCGATCCTGCTGACCGATCCATTGATCAGCAAGCAGTGCGGCGATGCCACGGCCATTGAACATCTTGCTCATCTCTTTCATGTGGCCATTGAACGTGTCCGGGAAGCCCCACTGGCGGGCCTTTCCAGGGCCCGTGACTGTGGGAGAACGGAAACAATTCAGAACCTCAACGCAACGAGATATGTCCACTCTGACATAACCTGGAATGGTGAGATCAATATTGCCTGGTGATGAAAGCCAACGCTTCTCGTACTCTGCAAGTAACTGTGACCAGGCACGATGCGGGTCCAACTTCATTCATTTCCCATCCGTAACAACGTCATTGCCAGACCACCACAGTAGAGCGATGAGGCCGCGCTGGTAGTTGCGTTGTTTGACGTATGCTGGGAAGTGGTCTGCCCAATATACCCAGATTACCTCGTTGACCTCGCGGTATTCGTCGCTTTTGCCGGTCATGTACAATGCGCGGGCATGGCGTGCGTGGGCTACGATCTGCCCATGCTCGTCATTGGGTGGGTCGGTGGAGGCCGTGCTCTCGTCGAGGCGACGGCGAAGGGTAGCGTGGTAAGCCTCGCGTGCGGCAGCTGGCTGAGCGCGGGTGTTGCCACCAGCCTCTGGCAGCAACGGTAAATCGCACCCAATCGGCGCATCGCACTCCAACCAAAAGCGCTTGTAGTTGGGGCGCGAGAGAACCCAGCACAGGATGTCATCTCTCATCCACGTGGCGAAACCCTCCAACGTGGCACTTGCCTGGCATTGAAAGTCATGCATCCATGGAAAAAAACCAATGGAACCAGTGCAGGATGGGATGCAGTAGCGATCCGAAGACGCGCCTTGGCGGAATTCAACTCATCGATGCCAGCACGAGGTGTCGCGGTGCTCTTTTTGCCACGCGCAGACTTTGATACCATTAGACAGCTGGAATCGCTGTAGAGGTTGACCCACTTTAAGGCGTAAGGCGTGGCCATCGGGCCCGAAGGTGCGGACGACGGCGAAGCCGAAGTCCTCGTCCATAATTGGAGCCCAACCGTTCTCACTCATCATGGATAACTAGTACCTGCCATCTGAAAACGTGACTTACGAGGCGCCGTGGCAAATTGTGCTTGACCATGGACAGCATCGAAGGGGTCCTCGTTGAACCGTCCTGCATTCTGGTTGGCAGGGATATCGGCAGCATTAGGAAGATTGGGCATCCAGGGCGGCCGCGCAGGGTCCACGTTGGACAGTCTCGTCGCTCTCGTGTGATCCGCACCAGATCTTGATCACGCCCGCCGATAACGATGGCGATGTCCTTGCGTCGGCGATGGAGGTTTTTGAAAGAGTTCGGCATGCACTAGCGGCCGACTCGCGCGAGGGGCCCGCGTGGAATTATTTGAAACGGATCGCGCCCCCACCCCCTCCCCGCACTCGCGCAAAGGCGTTCGAATGAGCTCGACATGCGGCGCGAGAAGCCCGCTTGGCAGAATGAATCGAAATCGTTGAAAAATCGATTGCTTCTTAAGAACCCGCAAGACCGCGAGCACAGGATGCGTTTGAAAACTGAATGCTGCGAACGCATGTGTGTCATACGCTATCGGGGCACTATGTTTCTGTATCCGGCGATACCCAACAGTTTTCAAGGATCCCGGCACACGCGCACGACGACGCGCGCGCGTGCGCCCCGCCCCGTTTTTGTTGCAAGGGGTTCTTCCGACAGCACGCGCGCAGGGGCGTGCAAACGATTTCAACATGCGCGACCACGAGGCCCGTCTGGTAGCATATTATCGACATGTTGAGAAACCTATAAGAGCGCAAGCGCTGGCACTGTTGCGACACCATGTGTTTATATGTGTTCGCGACACGCGGTTTTGACATCCTCACGAAACCTGCAGCTGGTGAAAGACTGCGGCATGTGTGCGCGACGACGCGCGCATGCACACTTCGTCCTGTTTGCTGCAAGGGGGTATTGGAAATGGCTGAATTTGGATAAACGCGTGCGCGCGATCAGTATGTTTGCATAGAAGTTGCGCGTGTGCGAACTCCGCACTGGCTGTGATGGTACGAAATCACAAATAGGCTGGACCAACGAGCAAAATCATATGTAATTCTCGCATCCCCAAGGGGTACTGATAAGTGTGGCCTCGGGAGGGTTGTGGATCCTAGTTCTTCTTTCCAGAAACGAGAATATACGTGGTGCAACATGTGTCGTGCGAAAAATGTGTTGTGCCGTCGATCGGTTGCGGAATATTTCTTGCACTACACATAAGTATGTGTATATATATATATGTAGGCGTTGCAAAGTATGCAGTGCAGTCTGTGTGGTGCATTCAAGGTTGTGCAATATATGGGGTGCCATCTAATGTGAAACAATCTATGTGTGGCAATATCTGTTTTGTGCGGAGAAGAGGCGGCGAGAGACGGCGATAGGGCGGCGACAGCGGCACCAAAGCCGCCAGACTGGCAAACGGGTCCAAACAACGGGCGGCGACGATGTGGCGACGGGACGGCGACGGCGGCCACATAGCCACCAGACCGAAGAGACGGCCCAGGCGACGGCCGGCAACGAGGCGGCCAAGGAGTGGCGACGGCGGCCCCATAGCGGCCACACCGAAGACGCGGCCCAGTTCTTTAGAATGGAAGTAAGGACCCCTACGTGCAAGCACTGTTCGGACAATATTCAAACTCCTCGTTCGACCTATAGCATTAGTTGCAAGCCTACGACTATGACTCTGAAGAGGCCAACGCACTCCTCGGAGGACTCATTGGACCCGACAGATTCCTCAAGAATCCTGCTTGTATAAAAACTGTTCTGAAAGGGTTACGTGGGCCCGACTGTGAGAGATCCCTAAGATACCTGTCTTATGTTCAGGGAGGTTCCGGGGGCATGTGCGTCTCACTAGGGACATCGGTATTCGTACAGGGCCTATTGGCTGCGACTGGCATCGATGGGTTTGGACATGAGCTTGGCCCAAAAAGGTCCTATGAGGTTCCTATGGGGGCTGGTGGGCTTCTCATAACTTCGATTGATCCCCGAAGAACTTGTGCCACAATTTCAAGATCTTCGGGGGATCTCATGGGCACCATTGTACCAACCCTGTGTTCGTGAGGCTAGCAAGAGAGATGACCCCTGGTGACCACGTAGAGGGCAGCTCGAACACACAAGGACTGACCATGCTCACGCATGACTTCAGATGGACTTCCTGCGGGACGTGAGTGGCTTCCGCGAGAGGGAAGTCAAACCCGAAAGCTCGCCACTGGTTCTGCCGAAGGGTAGCGGAACCGAATATGAAACGGATTCCGCCAAACTCGGACGAATCCCGACCACTTCGGGACGGAACCCAATCAAGGAACATCAAACATCCGACGCTTTCTAAAACAACTGCTCTGTGGAAGATTCAGAGGTGCTACTAATTGAAAAATCCTTTAGAATCCTTCGGAATCCGTACGCTTGTTTGGGGGATCCGAAAGTTACACTTACGACTGCTCGGTTGCCATCGAGAAAACCCCACCGCTTCAATTATGCGGCTCCGCTTGGGTCTGTACGTACATGTAAAGCTGGAATCGGAAAGCGGCTGTAGGAAACCGATATGATGCCTGGGGGAATCCTTGCGATGAATAGGCAACCACATCAGCAGGACCCTGCTCATTCGACTCTTGGGCCATAGCTCGGGTGATGAGAAGCCGATTGGGACGTCGAACTCGCTTGGGTCCTCGCCCTCTCAAGGCCACCACGAGTGAGAGAAGAGGTCAGTTCCGTTCCTGGGGGGGCGCGGGAGCTCGCTTCCCCGCAGCCACGGCCCCACGGGCCTGCTCGGGATGCCATTCAGCGGGCGGAGGTAGCCCCACGCCGCGAGCGCCTGCTTCGGCTTGGACGCCACGTCGGCGCTGGCGATGGCCTCTCGGGGTGGCGGCCTGCTCCAGACGCCGACTGCCGCCCCGTGCTTCCCAGTCCCCCACGAGGGGCAGGGACGTTGACCCAGACGAGATGTCCAGCCATCTAGGGAGAGAAAACGGGGACCAGGGCAATCAGAACCATGAAGGTTGGCTCGACTCTGGCCGCTCGCTAGCCAGGCCAGGATCTGCTAGGGGCCCGCCCCCTGGGCCCCTGGGCCCTCAGGCTGGCCGTACGACCACGGCCGACGAGTCGCGCTGCCGAGGCCTTCTCCGCAAGGCTGTAGCTGAGGCGGAAGTACATCTCGTTGAGCCCGACGGGGGCAGTCTTGAAGCCAGGGACGTCTTTGTCCCTGGCCTGCCAGAAGACGCCGCCCTGGAAGAAGTGCTGGAACAAGTCGAGCTGCTCCTGCGGCACTCTGGACAGGCGGTAGTCCGAGCTCAGGTAAGCGTACCGGTCCGTTCGCCCAGTGTCGCAGCAGACCTTGAGATCTTCGAAGAGGCTCTCGATAGTGTCTGGCCGCCCCTTGATGAACACTGTCTTGGGGTCAGCCTTCCACGTACCATTCTTATGCATCGCGTCCCCGCTCCTCTTGTAGTTCCAATCGAATAGAAATGGGAACTGTCCCAGGCCCCGGGTCATTGGCCACTTGTCGATGAACGCGGAGTAC